ATTTTGCAGGATAGACTACACGTTAGGCCACAAATTAAGACTGATATCATAAAAAGTGTCTTCTACCACAACAAAGTGGAGCTTGAAATGAATAACTGAAAGAAAATTTAAAAATTCACAAACATGTGAAAATTAAAGAACATACTCTTACACCAGTAGGTAGAGGAAGAAACTATAAGGGAAATTAGACCTTACTTAGAGTCAAGTGAAAACAAAAACACAACATAGGAAAACTTATGAGATGAAGTAAAGTGCTAGGAGGGAAATTTTTAGCTGAAATACATTAGAAAGCAAAATCTCCAAAGAACAACCTAATTTTACAACTTAGGGAACTAGAAAAAGAAGAACAAACTAAACCTAAAGCTAGCAGAAGGAAGGAAATAATAAACACTGGAGCAGAGTCAAATAAAATAGAGAATAGAAGGATAATAGCAGAAAGCAACAAAACTTAAAGTTGGTTCTTCAAAAAGATTAAATAAATTGACAAACCTTTAGCTTTATTGACTAAGAAAATAAGAAAACTCAAATTACTAAAATCAGAAATGAAAGTGAGGACATTACTATTGTTTCTAGAGAAGTAAAAACGATTGTACAAGAGTACTATGAATTGTGTGCTAACAAATCGATGACCTGAATGAAGTGGACAAATTATTAGAATGCAATGTCTATCAAGACTGAACCATGAGGAAATCGAAATTTTGAATAAGTGTATAATTAGTGAGGAGATTGAATCAGTAATCAAAACCATCCTGACAAAGAATCAGGGCCTCCTGGACCTGATGATTTTGCTGGTGAATTCTGCCAAACGTTTAGAGAACTAACACTAGTTCTTCTCAAACTTCTCCAAAATTACTGAAGAGGAGGGAACACTGCCTGACTCATTCTGTGAGGCCAGCATTACTCTGATGCCAAAACCAGACAAAGACACTACAAGAAAATTACATCGTTTATGAACATTGTTGCAAAAAAATTCAACAAAATACTAGCAAACTGAATTCAACAGCATTTGAAAAGAATTATACACCATGACCAAGTGGAATTTATTCCTGAAATGCAGGATTATTCAACATACAGAAATCAATGGGTATATGGCTGGGCACGGTGGCTCACGCCTGTAATCCCAGCACTTTGGGGGACTGAGGTGGGTGGATCACCTGAGGTCAGGAGTTCAAGACCAGCCTGGCCAACATGGTGAAACCACATCCCTACTAAAAATACCAAAAAATTAGCCAGGAATGGTGGCACGTGCTTGTAATCCCAGCTACTCAGGAGGCTGAGGCAGGAGAATTGCTTGAACCCAGGAAGCAGAGGTTTCAGTGAACTGACATCATGCCACTGCACTCCAGCCTGGGCAACAAGAGCAAAAACTCTGTCCCCCCCAAAAAAATCAATGCATATAAAATATCACATTAACAGATGAAACAAACAAAAAAAAACCACATGGTCATCTCAATGCAGAAGAGTATTTGACAGAATTTAGCACCCTTTTATAGAAAATAACTAGAAATAAAAGGAAACCACTATATAATAAGGCCATATGTGAAAATCTCACAGCTAATATACTCCATGGTGAAAGACTGAAGTCTCCAACATCAGCAATAAGGCAGCAATGCCCACTTTTGCCACTTATAGCCAACAGAGTATTGGAAGTGTTAGCCAGAGAAAATAAGCAAGAAAAAGAAACAAATGCCATCTGAATGGGAAAAAGTGAAGTTATCTCAGTTTCAGGTGGTATGATCTTAAATGTGGAAGACCCTGAAGATTAAACACACACAAACCTATTAGAACTAATATATGAAGTCAACACACAGAAATCAGTTGCATATCTATTCACTAACAGTGAACAATTCTAACAGAAAATGAGGAAAACAGTTTCATTTAAAATAGCATCAAAAAGAATAAAATGCTTAGGAATTAACCAAGGAGATGAAAGACATGAACTGAAAACTACAAAATACTGCTGTAAGAAAGAAGATGTAAATAAATGGAAAGGCATCACATGTTTGTTGACTGGAAAACTTTTTTTTTTTTTTTTTGAGATAGAGTTTGATCTTTTTCCCAGGCTGGAGTACAGTGGCACGATCTTGGCTCACTGCAACCTCCATCCCCCAGGTTCAAGCGATTATCCTGCCTCAGCCTTCCGAGTAGCTGGGATTATAGGCGCTGCCACCACACCTGGCAAATTTTTGTATTTTTAGTAGAAACGGAGTTTCACCACGTTGGCCAGGCTGGTCTTGAACTCCTGACCTCAGGTGATCCACCTGCCTCGGCCTCCCAAAGTGCTGGGGTTACAGGTGTGAGCCACTGTGCCCAGCTGTTAAAATGTTAAAATAATAATACTAGTCAAGCCAATATACAGAGTCAATGTAATCCCTATAAAAATAACTATTTTTTTTTAAGAAGTAGAAAAATTCATCTTAAACTTGATACGGAATCTCAGCGGACACTGAATACCTAAAACAATCATGAAAAAGAACCAAGTTGGAGAATTTACAGTTCCTGATTTAAGAATTTACTACAAAGCAACAGTAACCCAAACTGTGGTACTGCCATAAAAACAGACTTATAGACTAATAGAACAGAATAGAGAGCCCAGAAATAAACCCTTGCATATATGGTCAAATGATTTTTGACAAGAGTGCCAAGACCATTCAATATGAAAAAGACTATACTCTACAAACACTGTTGGGCAAATTGTATATTTATATGCTGAAGAATGAAGTTGAACCCTTACCTAACACCATATATGCAAATTAACTGAGAATGGATTGAAGACCTAAACATAAATGTGAAAACTATACAATTTGTAGTTGAAAACATAGGCGCACATCTTTATAATATTGGATTTGATGATGATTTCTTGAAAATGACACCAAAACATAGGCAATAAAAGAAAAGAATAGCAAGCTTGGACTTCATCAAAATTTAAAACTTTCATTCATCAAAGGAAGGGAATATATTTGCAAGTCACATATCTGATAAGGGATTAATATTTAGAATATATAAACTCCTAGGCCGGGCGCGGTGGCTCAAGCCTGTAATCCCAGCACTTTGGGAGGCCGAGACGGGCGGATCACGAGGTCAGGAGATCGAGACCATCCTGGCAACATGGTGAAACCCCGTCTCTACTAAAAAAATACAAAAAACTAGCTGGGCGAGGTGGCGGGCGCCTGTAGTCCCAGCTACTCGGGAGGCTGAGGCAGGAGAATGGCGTAAACCTGGGAGGCGGAGCTTGCAGTGAGCTGAGATCCGGCCACTGCACTCCAACCCAGGCGACAGAGCGAGACTCTGTCTCAAAAAAAAAAAAAAAAAAAAAAAAAAAAAAAAAAAAAATTTAGAATATATAAACTCCTACAGCTTAACAACAATAATAGAACACTCTAGCTTAAAAATGGACAAAGGATTTGAATAATCATTTCTGCAAAGATATACATGTGGCTAATAAGCACCTGAAAAGATGTTCACTATCACTCACATTAAGAAAATACAAATGAAGACCACAATGAGATACCACCTTATACTCATTTGTGTGGCTTTAAAAAAAAAAAAAAAAAAAAAAAAAACCCAAAACTAGAAGGCAGTAAGTGTTGACAAGGATGTGGAGAAAATAGAACCCTTGTGCATTGCTGGTGGGAATGCAAAATGGTGCAGCTGCTGTGGAAAACAGTATGGTGGTTCCTATAGAATTGCTATTTGATCCAGTAATTCCACTTTTGAGTGTATGCCCAAAAGAACTGAAGGGACTCCAACAAATACTTATACAACCATGTGCATGGAAGAATAGCCAGAAGCTAGAAACAAGCCAAATGTCTATTAACAGATGCATAAATAAAATGTAGTATATACACACAATGGAGTATTATTTAGCCTTAACAAGGAAGTAAATTCTGAGTGCATGCTTCTACATGGCTAAATCTTGAAGACATGCTAAGTGAAATAAGTCGGACGCAAAAGGATGTATATGATTCCACTTATTGCAGCCACATAGAATAACCACATATATAATAGAGACAGAAAGCAAAATGGTCACTGCCAGGATCTAGGGGGAGGAAAGAATGGGAAGTTATTGTTTAATAGTTGGTGTTTCAGTGTGAGGTGATGAAAAAGTTCTGGATTCTACCAGTAGGTGGCTTTTATTCCTCCTAGGGAGCCCTCCCTGCCTACATTTTGGCTTTGTCTTCCTTTGCTCATAATGTCCTTATCCCTGCTCCCCACATGCCTCATCTGTAGTTCCTAGCACTTTCTTCTTCCCTTGATTCCAACCCAAGACCAAGTTGCCAGACCCTGTCTTAGAAAACCCTTTCTAATCTCTATTCCAGTTTGTCCTCCATTTGGAAATAGTACTAAGAAAATTAAAAGAATAAAACTGGGCAGGGGCATGAGAATAGGGTACAAAGATGAATTTTTGGACTGTGGCCAAGAAGCTTCATGGTGAGCACTCACAGTCTGTGTCTGGAAGTTTAATGAACTGTTCTCTACATTTCACAGGTAAGAAAACTGGGATACTAGTTGGTGGCGGAGGTGGGCCTGAAACCCAGGCACTATGATTCCAGTACTTCACTACTCTCTGCTTGTGACCATCAGGCCCGAGAAAGCCAAGCCGTAGGATTTTGAGGAATTACTGAGTTAGAGTGGATTATTTGATCTTTTAAATTCTTTAAACTCAGAAAATCTGTTGTCCTTTATTGTTGCTTACATTTTATATGTTGTTTGCTCTTCTGTCTGCCTAGATTTAAAGTTCCCAAAATGTAGGGACTCCACTTCGTGCACATATACCCTGTATGGCCCCCCAGGACCTTGACTATATGGGTTCACAAATGCCACTGGCTGGATAGAGACAGGGATTTAAAAGTCTTGGAACACATGGCACCAGGGTCACTGTCAAAGGCAGGGATCTTGATATCTCACCTGCCTCCCCCAGGGCAGCCTTCTGCCTGCCCCTCACCCAGCCACAGGCAAGGCTGGCTTCTGAGTGAGCAGGGCTCGGTTTTGTGTTACAGGCACACATGGCATTCAGGGATGTGGCTGTGGATTTCACGCAGGATGAGTGGAGGCTGCTGAGCCCTGCTCAAAGGACTCTGTACAGAGAGGTGATGCTGGAGAACTACAGCAACCTGGTCTCACTAGGTAAGCCTGATATCTGTTAGGATTCCCATTCTTATTGCTGGGAATTTTAGGCTATGCTTGAAGCAGCCATCTTGCTTTGTTACTTGACCTTTGGGTTGGACTAAAAAGCAACGACATTTTATTCCTGTTTTCCCGGGGAGGGTCTGATTTTGCAGAGTTGAAAATGAGTAGATTTTGTTGTATGTGTACATATGTGTATTGTGTGTGCTACTCTGCATTTCTAGCCCTTTTTTCTCAGACTGGGGTTCTCATCCTGTGTTAACTTGTTTTAAATGAGAGGGGGTGTTCATCTACCCGGCATGAAATAGAATCAGTGTACTCTCTTTTTTTTTTTTTTTTTTTTTTTTTTTGAGACAGAGTCTCTCTCTGTCGCCCAGGCTGGAGTGCAGTGGCCGGATCTCAGCTCACTGCAAGCTCCGCCTCCCGAATTCACGCCATTCTCCTGCCTCAGCCTCCCGAGTAGCTGGGACTACAGGCGCCCGCCACCTCGCCCGGCTAGTTTTTTGTATTTTTTTAGTAGAGATGGGGTTTCACCGTGTTAGCCAGGATGGTCTCGATCTCCTGACCTCGTGATCCACCCGTCTCGGCCTCCCAAAGTGCTGGGATTACAGGCTTGAGCCACCGCGTCTGGCCTAGTGTACTCTCATCTGAGTTCACTGCCCACTCATCCCTTCCATTTCTGAGAGCCCCGCCCACCCCTTCCAGCTCAGGGCTTTGTACTACCTCTGAAGTTTCCTAGGCTGTTTGGCTCTGAATTCTTAAATGGGCTCTTGAGCCCATAACCTAGTTACCTTATTTTCTTTTCCTGTGAGCAGGAATTTCATTTTCTAAACCAGAACTCATCACCCAGCTGGAGCAAGGGAAAGAGACCTGGAGAGAGGAGAAAAACTGTTCACCGGCTACCTGTCCAGGTGAGTGGGAAAACACTGGGTGGATGAGACATGAGCTCAGCAGCTCAGGACTGGGGGAGAGGAGGCGCTGCTCAGGTGCTGGGGAGGAAGTTGTTCCCCTGACCTCCCGGGCTGCTGTTTAGATTGCCTGACACGGCCTCCCTTCCAGATCTCCATCTTCATCCGAGTATGGATGGGGCTTTCCTGGTGTCTCTTGTCTCCTTCCTCCGCTAGGAAGCTGTTTTTCCTCCCACTGGGTTTCTCCTCTCTGGCTCACTCAGTTCTCTTTCATAGTTATGGGTTTCTTTCCCTTGTTACTGTTTTTAAAAAAGATCATCAAGAATATGGAAACAACTATGACCTAAAGAAAGAAGGCAAACCCAGTGGAAGGAAGAAATGTAAAAAGCCAATAGAGAAATTGAAATGGATTTCTAAAAAGACTGTGAGCTATTCGAGAATGGCTTTTACATTTTATAATGTTATATAAATATCTATATAACATCCTTAATTTTGCCACTTAACCATCAAAGCCTGAACTATTTACTATCTTTAAGAAAAAGTTTGCTGGCCCGTGCTCTAAGGGAATATAAGACATAGCCTTAACTTTTTATATTCTCTTAATACTTAATTTGGGTAAAATATAAAATGTAAGAGCATTGCAATTGCACAATTCCAATCACCCCCTCCTCCCAACATCCTTTGTGCTATAGTTGTCATTTGTATTATACACTCCTTATTACAATGTTAAAATGTTGGTTTTGGTTTTAAATACTCACATGGATTTGTTTTCTACCATGTATTTTTTTAATTAAGAGAAAAAATAGTCTTTAACTCATCCAGGTAATTTATCATTTTCTTTTTTTGTTTGTTTGTTTGAAAATCTGAGTTTACCTTTTGTATTATTTTTCTTGAACCTTAAGGACTTCATTTGGCATTTCTTATGGTACAGGTGGCAATGTATTCTCTATTGCTTCTGAAAGTGTCTTTATATTTTGCCTTCATTCTTGAAGTGTATCTTCACTAGATGTAGAATTCCACATTGGTTATTTTTTCAGCACTTTAAAGGTATTGTTCTGCCTGTCCCTGTTTCTGATGGAGAAGTCACCATGAACATAATTTACCTTTATTTCCTTGGCTACTTTTTGCTGGACTTTTGGTATTCAGCAGTTTCACAGTGATGCGACTGCCTGAAGTACATTCTTCCTTTACATGCTTTTATCTTCCTGATTCTCTCTGTCCCCTTTTGGGACTATAGGCACATATGTATCAGTCCTTTTTATATAATCCCACAGGTTATAGATCCTTTCCTTATTTTTAAATCTTTTTTTTCTCTCTGTTCTTTAGACTGGATGATTTCTGTTGGTCTGTCTTCAAGTTTACTGTCTCATTTGTCATTTCCAATATGCTAAGCTCTGGCCAGTGAATCCTTCATTTCACTTATTTTTCAGTTCTGCAATTTCCATTCACTTTTACTACACTTTTCTTTGTGGTGAGATTTCCTATCTGTTCACTAAATATAATCAAATTTTATTGTATCTTCTTTAAATCAGACACTAAGTGGATACCTTTTTAAGTGAAAAAGGTACAGGACTTTGTATATTACGCAGTTGAGTTTGTTGTTAAACAAAGAGAAGTATATGAAAGAGTATATATCCATGTTTATGTGAACATAGAAGTCTGTTGTTACTTACCATTACTAATGGTTACACCATACTAGTGGTTACCTCTGTGGAGATAGAATTGGGGAGGGTTGGACAAGGAGCTGCTGAGAATTTTTCGTCCTACTTTGCATTATTTTTAAATTACAGAGGCATAGACAACTTTAAGAAATTATATATGTGTTTTAGTTTTTAAAATTCTTTTGACAATTTTATAAATGTTTGCACAGAAGTATATATTTTCTTTTTCTGGGTAAGAAATTTTCTCCTCTTGTTTTTATTAAATTGATTAATTCTGTCTTCAAGTTGAGGGACTATAGCATACATAATATAAATTGTTGCTGTTTTTCAACTAGCTTGTATCCTTACTGTTCATCTGTTAGAAGGAATCTGAAAACTCTCCACAGTCCTTATAATTTATATCAACTTCTCCATTTATTTCTAAGTTTTTGTGTTATATTTTACTTTATTGTTCTATTAGGTATATAAGGTTCAGGATATTTTTATCTTACTCATTAATGAAGTTTTTAATACTGAAATTCTCTTAGTTCCGTGAGCTATTCTTTCCTTTAACTTCCTCTTTATTTCTTTTTAGTCTTAGCACCGTACTTTCTTGTGCATACTTTTCTATTTTATTGTTCATCCTTTTATTTTAAAATGAAAACAATGTCATTTGGGTGTTTTGCTGTTAAGCAGCAGCATGTAGCTGGTGTTGCATTTGCTGTCAAACCAGGTGGTGTTAACTTTTAATAGGGACTTTGGCCTTTCATGTTTACTTATTAACTGATAAATTTCATGAGACTTGCTCAGGGGATGACTGAGGCCGATGAGTAGGTGTTTTACTGCAGCGCTAGGAAAGAAGGAAGGTCAGGGCAAAGGAAGTAAAACATCTGTATTAGTCGCCTTGGGCCACCATGACGAAGTAACAGGGACCAGGTGGCTTAAACAACAGAAATTCATTTAGTTATAGTTCTGGAAGCCAGCAGTTCAAGATCAAGTTGTCAGCAGGTTTGGTTGCTCTGAGGACTCACTCCTGAGCTTATAGATGGCTGCCTTCCCCCTGTGTCCTCACATGGCCCTTTCTCTATGCTCACACATCTTGGTTGTCTCTTCCTCTTCTTAAAAGGCCACCAGCCCCATTGGATTAGGGCCCACCCTTACGACCTCATTTAACCTCAATTACCTCTTTAAAGGCCCTGTCTCCAAATACAGTCACATTAGCGGTTACAGCTTCAACATAAGAATTTGGGGGGAACACAACTCTCCTTGTGAGAGCACCATAGTGGTTTCATAGACTCTCCACTGAATCTATAGTTCCATAAAAGGTCAGTTGGATATATAAGTCCATTGGATCTCAGTTGTATGAAGGAGTAAAGTATGATGGTGTATAAGCTGAAAGGTCATGGATTGGAGCCCCAAATAAGGTCAGGAACAAATGTGCCCATGATGCTTGAGCAAAGTGAGTCAGAAGATAGAAGAAAAGGCTGTGTCAGAGAAGGGAATGTACACAGGAGAGAATGTGAAGATTGTGCAGTGTCTGTGAACAGCATTCACAGTGCAGGTGAGGTCAGTGTTGCTAAGAAGTTGGAGTCTTAGCCAGAGGCTCAGCCCTGTGGAGCACCCTGAGAGTGCTGACAGGTACTGGTGTGGAGAGGATGTGAGGCTGGTGGGTGATCAAATATTCAAGGCAATGTGTGAAACCAGGAGGCCTGTGGATGATCCTAAAAGAAGTATGGTAGGTACTGGTGTGGAAGCCACATTACAAAACAAGGACATTCATCCCACTCTGTAATGCTTGAGATGTAAGAGGAAGAAGCTGTCTATCTACCTGAGTGAATCTTATAGAAATCTTCCTCTCAAGGGACAACAGAGATAGGTCTAGCCAAGGACATGGAGGGAATGTTGGACAGAGAAGGAGAGGATGTAGGGGCATTATCTGACCTGTGTGTTCATTTTAGAATTGGCAGGTGGAGGCTGGGAAAATGCTGTACACCCTAACCTTTGTACATTTACACAAGTATGTGTTTTTCTCAACCTGAAAAGTATAGAATTACTGAAACATTTAGATTAATAACAAGCAGCTTACCTATCATTGTCTTAAAGTGAAACCTATCTTTTTTGTCTCTTGTTTTTAATCCTTGTTTTAATTTAAAGAAAAACAGCGACTCTCCCAACGATGTTGAGCACATTAAAAAAAACGCTGTACAATCCAAGGAGCAAGTCATTGTGGTTGCCCAGGAAGCTATCTTGGAAACCCAAAATATATGTGTAACGGGAAGAAAACTGTTCTAGGTGTAAAATACATCTTAACAGTTTCATTATTCTATATTTGGGACTTGGATTTAAGACAGGCAATATCAGAATCCTCAAAATAGGCTAGTTACAAGAAAAGCATTGAATTTTCTTGGCTGTTTCATTGATCAGAATGCTAATTCAATAAATGTAACAGAATCATTTGCAACAACATGGATGAACCTGGAGGATGTTATGTTAAGTGAAATAAGCCAGTCACAGAAGACAAATACCACACAATCTTACTTATATGTGCAGTCTAAAAAGGTTGGACTCATAGAAGCAGAGAATGGAATGGTGGTTACGAGGGGATGGGAGTGGTTGGGGAAGATGTTGGTCAGAGGATTTTCACATAGAAGGAATAAGTTCAAGAGATCTATTGTATAACATGATGACCACAGTTAATAACAATATATTGTGTTCTTGAAAATCACTAAGAGTAGATTTTAGGTGTTTTCACCACAAAAAATGATAGGTATGTGAGGTGATGCATATGTTAATTAGCTCAATTTAGCCATGTCACAATATATATATATTTCAAAATGTACACAATGAATATATACATTTTTTGTCAATTTAAAAATTAATTAGTTTTTTAAAAGTAACAGAAGTTACTATAATTATGAAGAATTATATACCCTCCTGAAGTGAATGATCCTTGTTATTTAAATTGACTAAGAAGCCTGGTAAGAGGTAACACAGAAGCATAAGAATAAGAATTAAAGCCAAGAGCTGTGGCTTGCATCTGTATTCCTAGCTACTCAGGAGGCTGAGGGAGACCAAGGCAGGAGGATCACTTGAGGCCAGGAGTTCAAGATCAGCCTGGGCAATGTAGCAAGACTCTGTCTCTAAAAAATTTTTTATTATTAGCCAGGATGAGATGGTATGTGCTTGTAGTCCCAGCTACTCAGGAAGCTGAGGAGGGAGGATTGCTTGAGCCCAGGAGTTTGGGCTGCGTGATCTATGATTGTACTACTGCATTTCAGCCTGGGCCACAGAGAGAGATCCTATCTGTAAAAAATTTTAAAAATAAAGAATGAGAAATTGAAAATCTGGTGAAGTAAAAATAGAGCTTGTATTTCTAAGTTGAGTATACAGAAGACAAAAAATAGTTATTTTTCATATGGAGGACAGAAATACACCAAGTTATAATTCTTTTTTAGTTACCAGTATTATTGTCAAGTTTAAGCTTTTTTTTCTGTTTATTGGCAAGCTAAATAATTGTACATGTTTTTAAGCATATATAGTGTTGATAGATGGTATTTAAAGTTTTAAGTTTCAGTCTCAAATAATGAACATAAGGCTGATCTCATTAGTTTAGGCAAAAATATAAGTAAAATTATTGCATGGGAACACTTTGTGTAGTTTTGTTTTTGAATTTTTTAACAAGAATATTTATTCTTATAATGATTTCCTAACAGAGATCTTAGAAATTGAAAAACAACATGATCAGTCTTAAGTTAAAAATTGCCTGAAAAATATGCCATTTCTGGTATTTACTTTGAGTAAAGTAATTGTAGATTCACATAATTTCTGGCACTGTCTGTAAATTATAAGATACTAGTTGGACACAAATATCTACATTTGCCTAATCTTGAATATTTATGAATGCAATATACTGATTTTTAAAATCAGTGTAGGTTGAGTGTCCCTTATCCAAAATGCTTAGGACCATAAGTGTTTCAGATTTTGGGGTTTTTTTTTTGTTTGTTTGGTGGGTTGGTTTGCATTTTGGAATATTACCAAATACATAATGAGATACCTTGGGCGTAGGACCCTAGTCTAAACAGGAATTTCATTTATGTTTTGTGTACACCTCATACACATGGCCTGAAGGTAATTATATTTTTCCTTTAAGGATGCTGAATAAACTGAGTTTTATGTGCCTGTGTTTTGACTGCAGCCTGTCATATGTGATCAGCTGTGGAATTTTCTACTTGTGGCTGCATGTTGGTGCTTAAAGGTTTTCAAATGTTTGAATTTTGCAGATTAGGGATGCTGAACCTATATATTAGTCTTGGAAGTTTAGATTAGTTAAACTTTCTTTGAGAAAGCCTACATATCAGAACTAAGTTTTATATCACTAGAATATTATGCTAATGTTATATTTACACTGATAAAATAAGGGAAAAGACATTGCATCTGTCTAATTTACAGGCTTTATCTTATTTTGAAATATTGATTTCACCCTTTACAGTTACATACCAGCTAGTAAGGTCATTTACATACTGTAGTCTATAAGCCCTGAGTGCCTCACATTTCTTTCTTGTAGTGTGACCTAATAACCAAGGTGCCTGGCTTAATTCACAGCTAAACTTTTTTCTTCAGAGCCAGAGCTTCAGCTGCAGCAAAAAGATTTCCTGCAGAAACTGGCATATTTAAATCATTAGGAGTTCAATTTTCAATTTTCTTTTTTATGTATTATTTATTTATTTATTTATTTATTTATTTATTTTTGAGACAGACTCTTGCTCTGTTGCCCAGGTGGGAATGCAGTGGCACAATCTCAGCTCACTGCAACCTCCGCCACGCAGGTTCAAGCACCTGCCTCAGCCTCCTGGGTAGCTGGGATTACAGGTGTGTACCACCACACCCAGCTAGTTTTTGTATTTTTAGTAGAGACAGGGTTTCACCATGTTGGCCAGGCTGGTCTCAAACTCCTGACTTCAAGTGATCCACTCGACTCAACCTCCCAAAGTGCTGGGATTACAGGCGTGAGCCACCACACCTGGCCTGATTTTTTAAAAATTTTGTTATTCTCAAGTTTTTAAATTTTAAATTTGTGTCAGTACCCATTAGTCTCTACAAACCTATCAGTACAGGAGTACCTTAGATTTAAAATACTTTATAAACAAATTAATTAACCTGGTAATATTTTGTGTGAAAATTTCTTCTCAGACTAAATATTCCTAGTGTATACACAGAATGGCAGATTTGGTGACCAACTGAAAAAATGGACTAATGGAGAATTAAAGTTTTGTTTTTCTTCTGTCACTCCATATGAATATTAAAACCATGCTGAATTGAGATTTATCTGAAGGTGCTTCTGTAATTCTGAAATACATTTTGTGTAAATAAAAGCCTGCCACTTTACAAATAGGCACAGCAGTTAGGGCTGTAATAAGCCAACATACCAGAAGCCTTGGTTTTTATAAGGGTGGGTGGGAGGTATTACCTGTGTCAAAATCATAGTCACTGTGCTTAACTCAGGACAGACACAGGAGTTCCTTTTGCTGCTGAAAGACCTACTTACCCATGACTATGCCCTAATATGTATGAAGGTAAGCCAAGGAGATAAGAGCAGTTGCTTCCTTCTCCTATCATATCATGAGAAACAGAACAGCCAATAAATCAAATCTGACAACAGTCCAACTCAAGTTTCCATAATCTCAAGGAAGTTGCTGGCCAGAAATAGAAACACAAAATCAGTTATGAGTTGTGGAACCTCAGACAACCTAGATTAAACCAAAACACTTAGTGAGAACTCAGTGAAAAGCAGCTAGGATTTACTGCTGAGGAAGGGACTTGAGGGACCACCGGGCACCTGTCCTGAGTACAAGGGCTGGAAGAGCAGGCTTTCTCTGCAGGAGCGCCATAGCACTGGCGTGGGGAGAGGGTGGCATCAGGTTAGATTGTTGGTTCCCCCTTCTGTCATCAAAGCCTGAGGTAAAGGCCACCAGAGCTACTGAAAGGAGAAAAGGTGAGCTTATTTGCTGGCCAGGCAATGAAACACAGAAGGGAAGACATTCACTTAGGCAGTTTGCTGAGTAGGAAGAGTCAGGAATTTTTAAGTATTAGGAAAAGGTGGTTCTGCTCATTGTAATTAGGATTGAAAAGTAGCATTTCGTGTAGCGTGGCATAATTCTGGAATGTGGATGTGTACAGTTTTAATAAGCTTGATTGTTCATTGGTCCAGAAAAAAGCATTCGGGTACATCCATTGAGATCTCTACCTGGTTACTCATATTGCCTGGTCATTGATTGCCTTCAGCTGACTAGACCCTGTTGTGATAAAACAATATAATCAATGTTGACATCTCCTACACAAGAGGTACTATAAGTAGAAATTTCTTCTATTACACTGATTTTTGGGGAACATTTTATTTACACTAATTATGGAAATGGGTTGGGGGTGCTAGGAGGGAGCATCCTTTAAGTCACTGGGGGCCCAGGCTCTGTGTTGTCCGTTGCTGAAAGCGTGCTGCCTCCTAGAAATTCTGGCATAGAGTAGTCTAACAAATCTTTTTTGAGTGGGGAGACAGCAGTTCGGGTGTGTCACATACTGTTTCACCAGCTTCTCATGCTCCTCCCTGTACCAAGGCTTCTCTGTTCACTCCAAGTAACTGGTTTCTCAATCCATCCCCCTGTCCTCATAGGGAAATAAGGAAGGACATTTCCACGTGGGTCCTAGTGTTAGACATCTTTCCATCACAGAAAAAAGTACTTGTGGACGTGATTTATCTCATTGTGGGTGGTTGTGAGTTAGAAGATAATTCATTGTATTGAAGGTGAAGGGGAACTGTTCCATACTGGCCCTATTTACACACCCAAAAATGCCAGGGATGCTTGTATAGTCTGATATGTAGAACAGGTCTTACCAGTGAGTTTTCTAGATTGTAACGGAAGACGTGAGAAGTAGTGGTAGGCTGGAGAGGAAGCCATGTAAAGGAAGTCCCAGTTGGATGGCACTTAAGGCATAAGTGTTTTGAAACCTAGGGGATCTGACTAAGCTGATTGCTGAGGCTGCCCACTGAGAACTCAGTTGTGACTCACACTTTTCTCTCTGCAGCAGATCCAGAGCCAGAACTCTACCTCGATCCTTTCTGCCCTCCTGGTTTCTCCAGTCAGAAATTCCCCATGCAGCATGTGCTGTGTAATCATCCCCCCTGGATCTTCACATGCTTGTGTGCAGAAGGTGACGTCCAGCCTGGGGATCCGGGCCCAGGGCACGAGCAGAAGCAGCCACAAGCCTCTGAGGGGAGACCCTGGAGTGATGAAGCAGAAGGTCCCGGGGGAGAAGGCGCCAGGCCTTTGTTTGGAAGAACAAAGAAAAGGACTCTGGGAGCGTTCTCCAGGCCACCCCAGAGGCAGCCAGTCACCTCTCGGAACAGCCTCAGAGGGGTGGAGTTAGAAGCCAGCCCAGCTCCAACGGGGAACCCTGAGGAAACCGACAAATTGCTGAAGAGGATAGAAGTCTTAGGATTTGGAACCGTCAACTGTGGAGAGTGTGGACTGAGCTTCAGCAAGATGACAAACCTGCTCAGTCACCAGCGAATACACTCAGGGGAGAAGCCCTACGTGTGCGGGGTATGTGAGAAGGGCTTCAGCCTAAAGAAGAGCCTCGCCAGACACCAGAAGGCACACTCGGGGGAGAAGCCGATTGTGTGCAGCGAGTGTGGACGAGGCTTTAACAGGAAGTCAACGCTAATCATACACGAGCGGACACACTCCGGCGAGAAACCTTACATGTGCAGTGAGTGTGGGCGAGGCTTCAGCCAGAAGTCAAACCTTATCATACACCAGAGGACACACTCCGGGGAAAAGCCTTACGTGTGCCGGGAGTGCGGCAAAGGTTTCAGCCAGAAGTCGGCTGTCGTGAGACACCAGAGGACACACCTGGAGGAGAAGACCATCGTGTGCAGTGACTGCGGTCTGGGCTTCAGCGACAGGTCAAACCTCATCTCTCACCAGAGGACACACTCTGGGGAGAAGCCCTACGCCTGCAAGGAGTGTGGGCGATGCTTCAGGCAGAGGACCACCCTTGTCAATCACCAGAGGACACACTCCAAGGAGAAGCCCTACGTGTGCGGGGTGTGTGGGCACAGCTTCAGTCAGAATTCAACCCTCATCTCTCACAGGCGGACGCACACCGGGGAGAAGCCGTATGTGTGTGGGGTGTGCGGGCGAGGCTTTAGTCTCAAGTCACACCTCAACAGACACCAGAACATACACTCAGGGGAGAAGCCCATTGTATGCAAGGACTGTGGCCGGGGCTTCAGCCAGCAATCCAACCTTATCAGACACCAGAGGACGCACTCAGGGGAGAAGCCCATGGTGTGTGGGGAGTGTGGGCGAGGCTTCAGCCAGAAGTCAAACCTTGTTGCACACCAGAGGACGCACTCAGGGGAGAGGCCGTATGTGTGCCGGGAGTGTGGGCGAGGCTTTAGCCACCAGGCGGGTCTCATCAGGCACAAGCGGAAGCACTCGAGGGAGAAGCCCTACATGTGCAGGCAGTGTGGACTGGGCTTTGGCAATAAGTCAGCTCTCATCACACACAAGCGGGCTCACTTGGAAGAGAAGCCTTGTGTGTGCAGAGAGTGTGGCCAAGGCTTTCTCCAAAAGTCACACCTCACCTTACATCAAATGGCACATAAGGGGGAGAAGCCGTATGTGTGCAAGACGTGTGGGCAGGGCTTCAGCCTCAAGTCTCACCTCAGCAGACACAGGAAGACCAAGTCTGTGCACCACAGACTGCCACTGCATCCTGACCCTGAGCCGTGTGCGGGGCAACCTTCCGATTCCTTATACTGTCTCTGAAGGCAAAGATGGGGACAAGGACTAACAGTCAGAATGTTGACACTTTGATGAAATAGAGAAATGCATTCTGTAAGTGGTCAAAGGATGTTTAACTGTTTACTTTCCCCACACTAAGTCTTCTCCATGTTTTGTGGCCTTCGGTTGTAATAAACTTGGCTTCTTTATACATCTGTAACTGTGCCTGTGTCCTTCATTCACTCATCTATAACAGGGATAGGGAATGATACAGACATCTGAAACCCTTAAGTCCACTATTCCACAGGAATTCATTTCCTCAGAAAACAAGAGCCAAATCATTTGTAGATTTATTGGAACGACTGGTCCTTTGTATGGGGAGAGAATCTAGGAACTATGTAAAGAGATTTCACAGGAGGGGAGGGGATCTTCCAGAAAATGTGACTTCCTCTAGTCCAGCTCCATCTGCAGCTACCCCCATCCTTTGGCTCTGACAGCCCCCTTTCCTGCTTCTCTCCTCCCAGCTTTCAAACATCTCTGTTGTTGCCTTTGCCCCTGACTACCTTTGTTGCATTTCTTAGACTTTTTTAGTCCCTGGTCCTTCCATCGGGGGCCCTCTCACCAATACATTGTCCTCAGCACTCCAGTCCCAAGGCCTGATCTTGCAGCTGTGACCAAGCAGAGCCTTGGATCTCAGTTACACCCATATCAGACCACCAAGAAAATGGATAATCTCCAACCACCCCCAGCTATACCACCTCATCAGCACCTCCGTAACTACAGTCAGGCAGTGCATAATGTTTGTCTGCGATGGACTGCATATACAATGGTGGGCTGGTAAGATTATAATGGAGCTGAAAAACTCCTGTCACCTAGTGGCATTGTAGACTTCCCAATGGGACAAGATACAGAGGTGGGTAAGATAGTGCTATGGATCCTGACCCTGTATAGACCTAGGCTAATGTGTGTGCTTGTGTCTTACAGTTTTTAACAACAAAAAAAAAATTAAAATTTTTAAAATAGAAAAAAGCGTATAGGATAAGGATAAAATGAAAAATATTTTTGTACAGCTGTACAATGTTTTTGTTTTAAGCTAAGTTACAAGAGGGTCAAAAAGTAAAAAATTTTAAAGCTTGTAAAGTTAAAAGTTACAGTAGGCTAAGGCTAATTTATTATTGAAGAAAGAAAAGGTCAAATATAAATGGAGTGTAGCCTAAGGGTACAGTATGTACATCTGTAGTAGTGTATAGTAATGTCCCAGGCCTTCATATTCACTCACCACTCACTGACTCACCCAGAGCAACTTCCAGTTCTGCAACTTGCCTTTTATGGTCAATGTCCTATACAGATGTACTTTTTTCTGTCATTTATGCTGTATTTTACCTTATTTTTTCTATGTTTAGATGCACAAAGTCACCCAGAGCAACTTCCAGTTCTGCAATTTACCATTTATGGTAAGTGTCCTGTACAGGTATACCATATTTTTGTCTTTTATGCTGTATTTTACTATACTTTTTTCTATGTTTAGATGCACAAATAACTTACCATTGTGTTACAGTTGCCCACAGTACTCAGTGCCTACAGTACTCAGTGTAACCTGCTGCACAGGTTTGTAGCCTAGAAGCAATAGGCTATGCCATGTAGCCCAGATGTATAGTAGGTTATGACATCTAAGTTTGTGTACGTACACTCTACAGTGTTTGCAAAATGACTAAATCACCTAATGATTTCTCAGAACATATTCTTGTTAAGCAACACTTGACTGTATATGACAATCTTTAACCATGTGTCTTCCTCAGCCCTCTAGTAACAGGGATTAAACCCTTGAAGCCATATTCCTCAATCAGTCCTGTAATACCAGTGTTTAGAACTTTGAGTCATGCTCCTCTATCCCAGGACCCAGTCCCCATGTCAGTCATCAGGTAACTGGTCTAAGGTCTTTCAGCCACACAGTCTCAATAGTTATCCTATCTCAGGGCTTCAGGTGTTTAACCCTATGTAAATATTATTAACCATACCTCCTCCAGTGCGTAGTTTTGCTCAAAATAAGTGTCCTTCAAGGTAAAGATCATCTCAAGGGTACAGACCTTTTTAAGACTTCAGAAGACCCCTTTTTAAGACTTCAGAAATATTTAAGTGTGTGGCTTCTAGACTGTACACAAAATGGTGCTAAATTTTAATGGAATCATCCCATAGCACCTTGACACTCAACCCAAATGAGGGGCTTGTCTTGAAGAGCTTTGTGGATATAGGTTTTGTCTAATGGAATGAGCTTCAATAAGAGGCATAGGAAACCCATGACATTTGTAACAGGAACACCAACTTGCTCTGAAAACGACGCAAAAGCCCCTACCTCTTTCTATGGGCCGGAAGGTAGGGTGAGAAACCTACTAAGCTGCAAGCACAGGCCAGTTCTCATGGAAAAGGAGGAATAACTTGGACTGCAGACATCATGGAGAATCACTCTCACGGGCAGTACTGTGCTACAAAGGTAACTGGTGGCATGTGCCAGCTGAACTGCTGAATTTCTATGAACCAGTACCTGCTGTTTCCCCATTTTTTGATAGAAGCACTTTTTCAGGGATAGTTATCCCTGAATCTACACTGGGTGTTAGATATGCTTCTTTGGTTCCCAGGTCTTCAGATAAAGCATCATCTCCACCTTGACCTGATTCAAAGAATGAGATCCCGATCTTTGAGCCAATGCCATAGTGGGATAAGACTTTGGGGGCATCTTAGGAGGGATGAGTATATACTTCACATGGAATGGATATGTGAAAATTGTCTCCAAGATGGACATAATCAATTCCTTCCCTCCTTATATCTATATTATGAGATGGGGTGAAGAGGGGTGTCCTGTTACCTTCCCCATGTATCTGGGCTGGTCTTAGTGACTTGCTTCATCAAGAGGGTGTAGCAGAAATGATATTATGGGACTTCTGAGACTAGTTCATAAGAAGCCTTACAGCTTCTACACTTTGAACCCTGCTGCCATGCTGTGAAAACTTCTAGTCACATGGAGAGGACTTATAGAGGTGCTGTGGTAATCAGCCATAGCTGAGCTAGCCAACAGTGAGCCTCAACTCCAGTCACATGGGAGAGCTATTTTGGAGGCCTGTCCTGTCAGACTTTTCAGATGACTGAAATCCTAGGTGACATCTGCAGCCAAGTGAGGCACCTCAGGTGAGAACCATTCAGCTGAGCTCAGTCAACCTATAGAACTGAGGCATGATGATAGTAGTTGTTTTAAGCCTCAGATTTTAGGATTATCTGTTATACAGAAATGGATCATTGGAACACATTTATAACCTAGGACTGACTTTGTGATTCCAAATCTCAAAGTCATAATGAAAAAGGTCAAATTTGTCTATACAAAAATAAATTCTGCAAGGCAATTCACACTTACGGCCAAAACAAAAGACAAACTTGATGGACATGCTGTCTTTCCTATCTGCATAATAGCATTAGAAATGAAATTTTAAAAATCAAAAACACAATAGAAGATACTAAAAAACACAAGGACAGATAACAGCATAGGAAGAGAAGTCTTCTTTCATTTGAAGACATCCTTGACATCAGTAAAGATACAAATGAAAACCACACAGAGATATTTGCACCTGCCAGATTAGCAAAGACTACAAAATTCGAACATAGTATTGTGGACGGTGGAAACAGGCACACTTATACATCAGTCTTGGGAATACAAATTGCCACAAGGCTTCTGGTGGACAACTTGGTAATATCTCTCAAAATTTAAAATTCATATTCTCTTTGAGCCCGAAATCTCACTTAATGAATTTATCCAGTAGCTGTGTATGTTTATGTGCAAAATGATTTAGGTAAGTTATTCAATGCAGTCATGAGTAATTTCAAATTTTAGCAAAGAAAAACATGTTCAGTAGAACTGATTAAATAAAATTCATGCACAAATAGAACAATATGCTGTCATAACAAAGAATGAGAAACATCACTATGTACTTATATGAAAGAATCACCAAGATTAATCAGTGGGAGGAGGGATGGGACAATCAGTCTGAGAACACTGTGTCCAGGGTGCTAAGTTTTAGGTTAAAAAGAGGCAATCAAAGTACGTATTTTTACAAGAGCAAAGTTGGAGAACTTATACTTCCAAATTTCAAAACTTACTATATAGCTCCAGTAGTCAAATAATCAGTGGAGTTTCTTAAAAAAATATAAGCCCAACAGCAGAATTTTCTTCTAAAATGGCCCACAAAGACAATTTGCATTCAAATTTGCATTCAAATTTGCATAAGTAGGGTTTTCTGGATGTAATACCATACTATATTTTTCTTTCAAAATGGTCTTGAAAATAGGATTATTTTTCATCCAAATTCACTAAGTCTTATGGGTTTTTAGAAATAAGTCTTATGCCAGGCTTTTCTAAAATGACCCAGAAATGTAACTTTTCATCTAAATTTGCTGAAGTTTTTAGGACATGTGGTCATAAATTCTATGCTACATTATTTTACAAAATTGCCCAGAAATAAATACATTTTTCATTCAAATTCATTCAAATCATGTGTTTTAGGGTACACAAATTCTTGGTCAAATTTCTCCCCAAATGAATAAGAAACATGAGTTTTAAAAATCCAAATTTATATAAAAGTAGGTTTTGGGGAATTAAGTCATATGCTGGATATTTCTCCCCAAATCCCCATGGAAATGTGCTATTTTCATCCAAATCTCAAATTTGGAGGCTTATTGGAACTAAGTCCTACACCAGATTTCCCTTCTAAAATATGCAGAAAATGTCATTTCTTATCCAAGTTCACTGAAATCTTAGGATCTTTGGATCTAAATCATGTGTAAGGCTTTTCTTCTAAATGGCCTGGAAATGTGATTTTTTCAATCAAATTGGCTCAAATAATGAAGTTTTTTGGAAATAATTTCTGTGCCAGAATTTTCTTCCAGACTAACCTAAAAATGTGATATTTTATCCAAATATCCTTAATTGTGATTTTTGGGGTAAGCTCTATTCCAGATTGTTCTTTGTAAATGGCTGGGAAATATTACTTTTTCTTAAAATTTACTAATATTGTGAGGTTTATTAGACATAAGTCCTGTCCCAGACTTTCTTTCAAAATGACCCCAAACGTGATTTTTTTTTTCCAAAAGTCCAAATTTACTCCAATTTTTTGGCACATCAGCCCTAGGCCAGCTTTTTCTTCCAAAAAGTGGAAGGTTTTTGGATATAAGTGC